CGCTGTCGCACTTTGAATGACAATTGCGCGGGTCATGCAACACTATACCCACATGAATTTTTTTAGCATTTTTTTGAGACCGATAAAACTTTATTTTGGTGGTATTTATTCACCACTGAGATTTTTTTTTTTTTTGCTATATAAATGAAAAAGGCCAAAAAATTTTTTAAAAAAGTGTTTTTCTTATAAAATTTTGCAAATAAATAATCTTTCTTCATAATCTTTCGTCATAAATCTTGGCCAAAATTTATTCAGTTATCTTTTTAGTAAAAAAAATATAACCCAAATTAGTTTATAACCAAAAATTATAATTTTTTAAGAATTTGTTTTACATTTTTATTATTTTATATTTGTGGGTTTTTTTTTTTTTTTGACGTGATGAAATTTTTTTATTTTGTTTTACACGAATATAGGCTGTAAAAAAGCAATCATTTCTCCTTCTCTCTGGCTGCGTTCTTGCAGCCATTGAGAAATACTGTGAGCTGTGATTGGTCACAGCTTGTCACATGGTACAAGGCTGTTGTGAATAGCCTTGTACCATGTGACTTCTGTGATCATTCACAGAACTGTGAATATCAAAATGCCTTCATGGGTGATGTCAGTCTGAAGTTGTGAGTACTCTGAGACAGGATGAAGTTACATACAGATCGCCCTAGGTAATACCTCTGAGACAGGATGACGTTACATACAGATCGCCCTAGGTAATTCCTCTGAGACAGGATGAAGTTGCATACAGATCGCCCTAGGTAATACCTCTGAGACAGGATGAAGCTGCATACAGATCGCCCTAGGTAAGTCCTCTGAGACAGGATGAAGTTGCATACAGATCGCCCTAGGTAATTCCTCTGAGACAGGATGAAGTTGCATACAGATCGCCCTAGGTAATTTCCTCTGAGACAGGATGAAGTTGCATACAGATCGCCCTAGGTAATTCCTCTGAGACAGGATGAAGTTGCATACAGATCGCCATAGGTAATTGCTATGCGTTACGCTGAGCTTCTACAATTGAAAGAGCTGAAATCCAATGAATGGGGAGGAAAGTGTTAGATGATGCTGGATGTCCTAAATCCAGGAAATGAGGTGGGCTTTGAGACAATAAAAGCCTTTACAGTGCATCAATTTGGTATCATTGTTGACATGCGTGATGATACCCAATTTGTACGGCACAACAAGTGCCCACCAGTGTGCTTGTTTGCATGTGTTTATAGGTGGGAATGGGGGGCTTTTTAAACATTTAACATTAACCTAATTGCGATCATACAGGGCAGGCAGGCCGCCTTTGCAATAGCGAAGTGAAGGTGACAGGTTCTCTTTAAAAAGACATCAGACGTCTATTAGATCCCTAACGTAACATCGGCTCTCTGCTGAAGTTGATCGAGCGCAGACTGAGATTTATCAGCTTCTCTCCCTGTCAGAGTGGCCGCAGATTGACATTTGTGAACCCAGAAGTAATCAGAGCTGAGAACTTCCAGGTTCAGACTACGCAGGGGAGATCAGTGAATGGATGTTCACGGATCTCCTCATATCCCTGCCTTTTCTTCCTCGTTGCTCTGATTGACCCCAGGAGCGAGGCAGAATTAGCACTGCACAAGTGTCAAGTTCTGACGTGGAGCTTACACAGGGCCCCCATGTGACAGCACTGGTTGCCTGAGCAGCCAATCACCAGTCACAGGAAAAGAAGGGAAGAGGGGTCATAGGATTCCACATTCCAGGAAGTTTGGGGTATCTATAGTCATGGCCAAAATTATTGGCACCCCGCATTTCTGTTAGATAAAGGAACCACTTCACTCAGAAAATTGTTGCAATTACAAATGTTTCGGCATTCTCATGTTTATTTCTTTTGTTTGTATTGGTATGACACAAAAATGTGGAGAAACAAAAAGCCAAATCTGACACGTTCCACGCAAACCCCCAAAAATGGACTAGACACAATTATTGGCACCTTCTCAAAATTGTAAGACATAATTGCATTCCAAGTTTGTGACTTTCCTGTCATTTGTAATTAAACTCACCTGTATCAATTAACAGGTGCTGACAATATAGAAATCACACCGGCAACCAGGTAAAATGAAGAAAAATGGACTCAACCTTTGTGATGTGTCTCTGCGTACCACATGGAGCAAAAGGAGCAGTAAAGAATTGTCTGAGAATTTGAGAACAAAAATTGTTGAAAAGAACAGACAATCTCAAGGTTACAAGTCCATCTCCAGAGATCTTCATGTTCCTGTGTCCACTGTGCACAACATTGTCAAGAAATTTACAGCCCATGGCACTGTAGCTCATCTGCCTGGACGTGGATGAAAGAGAAAAACTTGATCAAAGATTGCAACGAAGGCTTGTTGGAATGGTGGCTAAAGAACCTCGATCAACTTCCAGACAAATTCAAGCTGACCTACAGACACAGGGTACACCTGTGTCAGCTTGGACTATACAGTTGCAAGAAAAAGTATGTGAACCCCTTGGGATTACGTGGAGTTTTGCATGAATTGGGCATAAAATGTGCTCTTAACGTCATCTAAGTCACAACAATAGAAGAACACAGTCTGCTGAACATAATACTACACAAACATTAGATGTTGCCATGGTTTAATTGCACATAACATGTAAACATTCACAGTGCAGGGAGGAAAAAGTATGTGACGCCCTAGTTTAATGACTTCTCCCAGAGCTAATTGGAGCCCGGAGTGAGCCAACCTTGACGCCAATCAGTGTGATGATATTGGATGTGTTGCTGACAGCTGTCCTGCCCTTAAAAAACACACACCTGTTTTGGGTTTACTGGTTTCAAGAAGCACTGTCTGATGTGAACCATGCCTCGCAGAAAAGAGCTCTCAGAAGACCTACGATCAAGAATTGTTGACTTGCATGAAGCTGGAAAGGGTTACAAAAGTATCTCCAAAAGCCTTGATGTTCCTGTGTCCACGGTAAGACAGATTGTCTACAAATGGAGAAAGTTTAGCACTGTTGCTACTCTCCCTAGGCGTGGTCGTCCTGTAAAAATGACTGCAAGAGCACAGCGCAGAATGCTGCATGAGGTAAAGAAGAATCCCAGAGTGTCAGCTAAAGACCTACAGAAATCTCTGGCACATGCTAACATTTTTGTTGACACATCTACAATAAGGAAAACATTAAACAAGAATGGAGTACATGGGAGGACACCACGGAGGAAGCCATTGCTGTCCAAAAAGAATATTGCAGCACGTTTGAAGTTTACAAAAGAGCACCTGGATGTTCCACAGCACTACTGGCAAAATATACTGTGGACAGATGAAACCAAGATTGAGTTGTTTGGGAAGAACACACAACATTATGTGTGGAGAAAAAAAAGGCACAGCACACCAACATCAAAACCTCATCCCCACTGTAAAACATGGCGGAGGGAGCATCATGGTTTGGGGCTGCTTTGCTGCCTCAGGGCCTGGACGGATTGTTGTCATTGATGGGAAAATGAATTCCAGAGTTTATCAAGACATTTTGCAGGAAAACGTACGACCATCTGTCCGCCAACTGAAGCTCCGCAGAGGATGGGTGATGCAACAGGACAATGACCCAAAGCATACAAGTAATTCAACAAAACAATGGCTGCAACAGCACAGAATACGCCTTCTGGAGTGGCCCAGTCAGAGTCCTGACCTCAACCCGATTGAAATGCTGTGGCATGACCTTAAGAGAGCGCGATTCACACCAGACATCCCAAGAATATTGCTACACTGAAACAGTTTAGTGAAGAGGAGTGGTCCAAAATGACTCCAGATCGTTGTGCAGGTCTGATCTGCAACTACAGGAAACGTTTGGTTGAGGTTATTGCTGCCAAAGGAGGGTCAACCAGTTATTAAGTCCAAAGGTTCACATACTTTTTACTCCCTGCACTGTGAATGTTTACATGTTATGTGCAATTAAACCATGGCAACATCTAATGTTTGTGTAGTATTATGTTCAGCAGACTGTGTTCTTCTATTGTTGTGACTTAGATGACGTTCAGAGCACATTTTATGCCCAATTCATGCAAAACTCCACGTAATCCCAAGGGGTTCACATACTTTTTCTTGCAACTGTATGTCCCCATCTTAAGGGGCGCTATGGTAGGAGACCCAGGAGGACCCCACTGAGGACACAAAAAAGCCAGATTGGAGTTTGCCAAAAACTTAGCTGAGGAAGCCAAAATCCTTTACGGAGAATGTGCTGTGGACAGAAAACAAAATGACAGCTTTTTGGTAAATCCCATCATTCTACTGTTTTCAGAAAAAGCAATGAGTCTTTTAAAGAAAAAAATGCCGTCCCTACAGTCACACATGGTGGGGGGTCACTGATGTTTTGGGGTTGCTTTGCTGCTTCAGGCACTGGATATCTTGACCATGTGCATGGCATTGTGAAATCTGAAGACTACCAAACAATTCTGGGGTGCAATGTAGGGCCCAGTGTCAGAAAGTTGGGTCTCCATCAGAGGTCATGGGTCTTACAACAGGACAATGACCCAACGTACACGTCAAAAAGCCCCCAGAAATGGTTTCAGAGAAAGCGCTGGAGAGGACTGAACTGGCCAGCAATGAGTCCATATCTCAATCTCAGAGCACCTGTGAAGAGATCTCAAAACAGCAGTTGGGAAAAGGAACCCTTCCAATCTGAGAGACCTGGAGCAGCTGGCGAAAGAAAAGTGCTCCAAAATTCCAGTAGAGAGGTGGAAGAAACTCATTGATGGTTACAGAAAACAACTGATTTCAGTTTTATCCAAGGGGTGTGCTACCAAATATTAACCCTCGCCTACAGGGCACTTCTACCCCCTTCCTGCCCAGGACAATTTCCAGCGCTGTCGCAGTTTGAGTGACAATTGCGCGGTCATGCAACACTGTACTCATATGAAATTTTTATCATTTTTTTGTGACAGATAGAGCTTTATTTTGGTGGTATTTAATCACCTCTGGGCTTTTTTATTTTTTCTTAAACAAACCAAAAACCAGTGAAAAGTTTGAAAAAAAACAAACGTTTTTTCTTAGTTTTTGTTATAAAATTTTGTAAATAAGTGATTTTTCTCCTTCACTGATGTGCGCTAATGAGGCTGCAGTGATGGGCACTGATAGGCTGCACTGATGGACACTGATAGGTGGCACTGATGGGCACTGATGAGGAGGCACTGGTAGGTGGCACTGATGAGCATTGACAGGCATCACTGATATATGGCACTGATTGGCAGCACTGACTGGCACTGATGGGTGACACTGAAAGGCAGCTCAGATGGGCACTATGTGGCATTGATGTGCACTGGTAGGCACAGATATGTGGCATTGATGGGCACTGGCACAAGGCACTGATGGACACTGACAGGTGGCACTGCTTGGCCTACACTGATCATCAGGGCACACTGATAATCAGTGCCCTGATGATCAATGTACATGTCCCCTCCAAGGAATGCCGATTACCGGTTCTCCTCTCCTCTGTCAGCGTGACAGCTCGTGAGGAGGGAAATGCTGATAACCGGCATTTCCCTGTTTACATGTGATCAGCTGTGATTGGACACAGCTAATCACATGACCGAGTCGACATCTTCGGCACTTTCCGTGATCGGTGATCCGGTGTTCCCGAGGGACACAGCGCACCATCGATCGGCAGACTGCACGCTCCCTGAGCAGCGCATGCGCGGTGAAAATGGGAGGATGTCATATGACGTCCTCCCAGAACGAGAGAACCACCTTGCGTTCGTCATATTACTATATGGTGGGTGGGAGGAGGTTAAATTGAGGGTGCCAATAATTTGGTCCAGTTCAATACAAACAAAAGAAATAAACACAAGAATGCCTAGACATTTGTAATCGCAACCATTTTCCCAGTGGACTGGTGCATTATCTGACAGAAATGCAGAGGTGCCAATATTTTCGGCCATGACTGTCTCTGCTCCTGGTAGCAAAAACAAATTTAGGAAAAGGAGCAAGTTGGGTGGATATTCTAAAGGCAAATCGACTGAGCACTTTGCATGTGCGGTCGCTCCAGAGGGCAAGCTCTGTTGACTTCCAACATTCAATCAGGTCAAGCAAAAATACTGTTCTTTTATTTTCATTGCATGTGATTGGGTATTCTTTGTAAAGTGAAGCTTCATGTTAGTTACCAAGCTCTGGAGCAACTGCACTTGCAAAGTGCACAGTCTATTTGCCTCTAGTAAATCCACCCCTGTATGTTGCAGGTGGGGCCTCCAATACAGAGAACCTGCATCACTCACAAACACATCGAAGGTGAAGAAGGCTCTGGTAGGGTAAATGAAGAACTTGGCTTTCCTACCAAAGGATTGAGGAGGCCCTGGATAAATCTAGGGATAAACCCCTAACTGAATGAAAGCAGTCTGCTTTAGAGTGAATCTAAAAACGACATCACAGATGCAGGGCCTGCCAACCTTCCGGCGTCTATTACGCCAACGATTTCATCCTCGGCCTCCCTGTACAGTGCTAACACAAACCAAGTTGATGATCAGCGAGAACTCCTTCCTCCCCTGCACCAGCTGGGAAAGTACACGGTGCAGCCGTGTGGCCCTGCAGGGGAGAGCGCTGGGAGGCACGCAGTGGGAGGGGGAAGACTCCGTACTTCAAATGCCGCTACAAATAATGATTGTGCTGGAAACAAAGTATATATAATGACACCACAGTTCAGCTCTTAGCGATACCCTACTAAAATACCAGCCAGGCTGCGAAACTGGTAATGTCAAGAACAAAATGGCGGATGGCTTCATTTTCGCACACGATGAGAAAGACTATAATTTCTATTAGGAAAACCATGAAGAACCCATTTTCAGGGCGTGTGCCCATAAAACAAACAGGAGTCGCAAGTGTTGCATATAGGAATCTGCATCCAGGGGAGACCGTCCATAGCCGTACCATGTGTACCCCCAGATCTGTGTTAGCCAGTGTACAGTCAGTGCCATCACATTGGAGCTGACAAAGCCCCCTTTGCATTAGCATTGTGAAGGTGACAGGTTCTCTTTTAGGAGACAGAGGTCTATCAGACATCTGTAACATTTTAACATCGGTACTCTGTTGAAGCTGATCTGCTTGATCAGCTTCTTCTCCGGTCAGAGTGGTTAGAGAATGGCAGCTGTGAACCTGGAAGTCATCACAACTGAGCGCAACCAGGTTCATAATATCCAAGAAAAATCAGCAAATGGTCTCCAAATGCTCTCCATCCTGACACCCATCAGAGTGTTCCCAGATCACCCAGAAGGGTCAGATGATCCCAGACACATAGTAGGGAGAGGATGTAGGGGAGCATAAAGAAATGATCGGGAAGTGTTATAGCCATCCAAGTGTTGCACACAGGTGTCTGTACAAATCAGTGACAGGATGTAGCTGTATGCTGGCAAACACAGATCCAAGTATATACACACTGCTCAAAAAAATTAAAGGAACACTTTGTAATCAGAGTATAGCATCAATTCAATGAAACTCCTGGGATATTGATCTGATCAGTTAAGTAGCAGAGGAGGTTGTTAAGCAGTTTCAGCTGCTTTGCTGTTAATGAAATTAACAACAGGTGCACTAGATGGGAAACAATGAGACGACCCCCAAAACAGGAATGGTTTTACAGGTGGAGGCCACTGACATTTTTTTCTCTACTCATCTTTTCTGACTGTTTTTCACTAGTTTTGCATTTGGCTAGGATCAGTGTGACTACTGATAGCATGAGGCCATACCTGGACCCTACAGAGGTTGCACAGGCAGTCCAACTCCTCCAGGATGGCACATTAATACGTGCCATTGCCAGAAGGTTTGCCGTGTCTCCCAGCACAGTCTCAAGAGCATGGAGGAGATTCCAGGAAACAGGCATTTACTCTAGGAGAGAGGAGACAATCCATACCTGCACAATTGTGTTTCCTCAAATTTGTGTACAGGCAGTGTTTTCACATGGAAGCTTAGAAGTTACTTCTGCAATGCCATAGAGCAGGTGACAGGTTCTCTTTAAGGAGCATTAGAGGTCTATTAGACATCTTTAACAATGTAACATCTGCACTCTGTTGAAGCTGATCGAGTGCAGACTGTCTGCATCGAAGGGAGAACATTCGCACCTCTACCATGTATACCAGGGGTCTCCAAACTTTCTGAACAAGGGCCAGTTTACGGTTCTTCAGACTTTAGGAGGGCCGGACTGTGGCCATTGGGAGGAGAAATTGTTTTGGCGTCAGTGGGAGTAAACAATGCATCTTTGATATTAGGGGGAGGAATAGATTTTTCATTGTTGGTGTCCGTGGGAGAAATCATACTCCATCGTTGGTGCATTAGGAGAAATAGTGTCCCGTTGTTGTTGTCACTGGGAGAAATAGTGTCCCGTTGTTGTTGTCACTGGGAGAAATAGTGTCCCGTTGTTGTTGTCACTGGGAGAAATAGTGTCCCGTTGTTGTTGTCACTGGGAGAAATAGTGTCCCGTTGTTGTTGTCACTGGGAGAAATAGTGTCCCGTTGTTGTTGTCACTGGGAGAAATAGTGTCCCGTTGTTGTTGTCACTGGGAGAAATAGTGTCCCGTTGTTGTTGTCACTGGGAGAAATAGTGTCCCGTTGTTGTTGTCACTGGGAGAAATAGTGTCCCGTTGTTGTTGTCACTGGGAGAAATAGTGTCCCGTTGTTGTTGTCACTGGGAGAAATAGTGTCCCGTTGTTGTTGTCACTGGGAGAAATAGTGTCCCGTTGTTGTTGTCACTGGGAGAAAATAGTGTCCCGTTGTTGTCACTGGGAGAAATAGTGTCCCGTTGTTGTCACTGGGAGAAATAGTGTCCCGTTGTTGTCACTGGGAGAAATAGTGTCCCGTTGTTGTCACTGGGAGAAATAGTGTCCCGTTGTTGTCACTGGGAGAAATAGTGTCCCGTTGTTGTCTTTCCTTCACTCATCTCTATGCCCACTGCCGGGATCGATGGTTTCTCAGGTAAGGCTGAGCTACCGAGCGGCGGCCGGTGGCAGGCGGCGGCAAGGGGCAGGGTTTTATCGGTATATGTATCAGTGCTTTTTTTTTTTTCATTTTGGCCAACGGCCGAAAGGGGTGTTTTCGGCCGAAACATTTCGGTGCATCCCTAGGAAAAAGTATTCCAAAACAATACTCAGGAATAATATAGGGCATAAACAATCAGACAGAAATCAGAGTCACATCTCTGTTCCTAATCAGGTTAGTCGGTCTGCCGTTCCTTGGATAGACTGAATGTCCACCAGTCGGTTTAAACACTTCCCTGATTAGAGCAGGTGTGCACTGCAGAGATCTTTGCAGCAGAGCCGAGTAAGGACCAGCAGATGTGGAAGGCTTGAGGCTGACCATTATAAGCAGACACTAAGTTGCTTACTTTTATTAAAATACTTGTTCCTTCAAATTCGGGTGTATCTCAAGCCAAAACTTTGTTCAGCTTTGGATAAAGTGGGGAAGGGCTAAATCTGTTAGTTCTTACTGGTCTCTACAGAGATTTTCTCTCGCTTCCTTTTGCAGCGATGTATCACCAGGCCAGAACACTATAGCATAGTTTGCATTTTGCTGAAATCAAGACAGTGCCAGATAGATTCTGAAAAGTTACTACATATACGCAGAACTTCACGCCAATTTTTTGCTTCTCACTTCTGCCACGAATCGTGTGACCAATGCAAAGGAACCAGAATCAACATGGTCACCCACCAGGAGGAGTGTGTGCACAAAAGAAGTTCACATCTATTTGACCTGGCTCAGTGAACACAGAAGCCACACACAGCCAGTCAACTAGCATTTTTTGGAAGGAGGTCACCCATGTTCCTGTCCTCCATGATAGGTCTCCTTTAAGAACAACAGCCGGGCTCCAGCAAATTTAAACATAGCTGGGACGTCCTGTCAGATGGATTTACATACATTAAACTAAAATTAGCCCTGGAAGTCACTGTGAATGTGGTGATGTAACCACCTGTTTACAGGCACACACAGACCAATAAAATGATCACAGGGTGACAGACCGTGCCAGGACACCAGCCAAGTTTCATGGTAGCTGCACCCACGTGAAATACTTACATCTGTTTATTCTTACACAACAATTAATTAAATTGTGGGAACAACCTTTACTCCACTTTATAATCGGAGTGTCACAGAACTATGCAAATCACCTCTACATGCAACTGCAATTTAGGTTCCAAAGGCCATAGAACACAAATATTTACGAGGGAGGAATTCGGGACATTAGAGAGGCTGGGCATCTTCGGGAACAGGACATACTTCCTCAATGTAACCATTACATAGAATCAATAAGGGAGGGGCTGGAAGTAGTGGTGCACCGAAATGAAAATTCTGTTGCCGAAACCGAAAATTCAAAAAGCACTTGGCTGAAAACCGAATGAATACATATTTTTTGGAAAAAAAAACTTTGATTTAAAAAAAAAAAAAAAAAAAAAAAAAACACAACACAATATATACCCCAATTGGTTTGTAAAATATGTAAGAGGATGTTACGGCGAGTAAACAGATACCTAATATGTCACGCTTAAAATTGTGCACGCTCGTGGAATGGCATGAAATTGTGGTACTTAATCTCCATGGGTGATGCTTTAAAAATGTCTACAGGTTAGCAGTGTAAAGTTACAGAGGAGGTCTAGTGCTAGAATTACTGCTCTTGCTCTGACGGTCATGGCGATACCGCACGTGTGGTTTGAACACCATTTACATATAGTCATGGCCTACGTATGCGTTCACCACTACGTGCCAGCATGGGGGCGGGGGCACTTTAAAAAAATTTTTTTTTTTATTTAATGTTTGGGGTTGTTTTTTTTTTTTTTTGCACTGTCCCTTTAAAAAAATCACTTTTATTCTTATCACAAGAAATGCATGCATCCCTTGTGATATAAATAATTAGTGACAGGTCCTCTTTATGGAGAGATATGGGGTCAGTAAGTCCCCACATCTCTCCTCTGCAATATAAAGCATTGGATAAAAAAAAAAGCATTGATCTAGTGCTTTAAAAAAAAAAAAAAAAAAAAAATGTCCGGAACCAGAAGTGACATTGCTCCAGTCCTCCAAGAGCATAGAGATGGGTGGAGGCCATCTTTCCTTCACTCATCTCTATGCCCAGTGCCGGGATTGTTCGATGGTTTCTCAGGTAAGGCTGAGAATTACTGAGCGGCGCCGGTGTGGTGGCAGCGGCGAGGGGCAGGTTTTTTCAGCACCTGTATCAGTGCTTTTTTTTTTTCATTTTGGCTTACAGCCAAAAGGGGCGTTTTCGGCCGAAACGTTTCAGCCATCAAAATTTCGGTGCATCCCTAGCTGGAAGATAAATGGGAACCTTTTTTTTATAGACTTGGAAAAATATCTAAGTATTTGAAAACTACACTTGTTCCCAAAGCCGATTACACTTGCATATAAAGTGGTTGTAACCTCTGAAATTATTATTATTATACAGGATTTATACAGCACCAACAGTTTGCGCAGCGCAGGCAGTAAGGTTACAACAGAATTTGGTACAAGAGGAAATGGAAGGCCCTGTTTGTTAGAGTTTGCAATCTAAGAAATAAATTAAAGCATATCCTTCTATAGTGTGTACTTGCCTCAATCCAAAGCACCCAGTATGATTTCTGTCTCCTTTCTCTTCTCTCTCCTATCTGCATAAATCACTTCTGATCTTTTATCTGGACACCAAGCAATCCTGGAGATGGCCCCACCCCCCTCCAGCACACAGCCTGGGATTGACAGCCTCAGTTTGTGCAGGTTTCCCTATGAGACTGTGTAAAGGAGGGTGTGTCCATTCCCTCCAATCAGGTCTCAGATTACTACTCTCCTCATCTCTTCACTGAGCTGTGCAGTGTGACATTAGATCCCCACCCTGAGCCTTCTACAGCTGAGAAATGAGATGTAAAATGTGTGTTTTAGAAGGCTGTAGAGAGGAGAGGACTGCAGATAAACAGGTACAACTTATTTAGGAGGATTTATTACACCTCTCTGCATCACCTGAGGCCAGTCAATTCACTGGGTATATGTAAGGATTTTCAACCACTTTAGAGTCAATTCATTATTTATTTGTGTGTGTGCAGCATTGCACATTGGCCTTTTGCTTTTTTCCTTGTCACTGTTGTCCCTGGGGAGGTGTAGAGAAACCATCAGATAATTAAAGTGTTACTAAACCCCGGACCCTGCATCCACTATATAAGCACTCCCCGGACCCTGCATTCACTATATCTGGCCTCCCCGGACCCTGCATTCACTATGTCCGGCCTCCCCGGACCCTGCATTCACTATATCTGGTCTCCCCGGACCCTGCATTCACTATGTCCGGCCTCCCCGGACCCTGCATTCACTATGTCCGGCCTCCCCGGACCCTGCATTCACTATGTCCAGCCTCCCCGGACCCTGCATTCACTATGTCCAGCCTCCCCGGACCCTGCATTCACTATGTCCAGCCTCCCCGGACCCTGCATTCACTATGTCTAGCCTCCCCGGACCCTGCATTCACTATGTCCGGCCTCCCCGGACCCTGCATTCACTATGTCCGGCCTCCCCGGACCCTGCATTCACTATGTCCGGCCTCCCCGGACCCTGCATTCACTATGTCCGGCCTCCCCGGATCTTGCATTCACTATATCTGGTCTCCCACAGTACACTATTATTTTAGTAAATCTAAAACGGCTAAATACCTTTCCTCATCAGCAGTTAGAGCAGTCTTGTAACTTGTATCAATGTCCAGCAGAGTACTAGCTAAAGCTTGTAGGAGTACTCCTCCTGCTCTAGGAGGATGCAAATCCCCTGACCTCTGGTCTGGACCGTGTTGATTGGCCCTGTGCTGATCACGTGCACTCTCCCAAGGAAAAAAAAAAAAACCTCTCTAGCAATACACACTAAACTGAGCATGTGCACGCCTACAGTTCAGTCTGGAAATAAGTGGTGGTCGCTTGAAAAAGGGGAAGATCAGAGAAGACAGGATCAAGCAGCCTTTTTACACAATGCGGAGGATAACCCCTTAGGTTCCACAGTGAGTATAACAAGCATGCTTTACTGCATATACAGACTGATTGTACTGCTGCGGGTTTAGTAACACTAATTATACTACCTTATTGCAAATGTCTTTACTGGGCATTAGAAGGCATTCCAGTCACAAGGAGCTGTGTGTATGGACTTGTATCAAACAATATTCCCAGCATGGTTTCAAATGTGGGTGCTCCCTAGGCTACCAAATACATGACTATTTAAAGGGCCACCATCTTCTTTTGTGGATATCCATGTGTGCACACATTAGGGGGTGCGGACAAGTAAACGCGACATGGGTCCTAGAAACTAGGGGGGGGGGGAAATCACTTTAGCAGCGGTGCCTTCTACAATGATTTCCAGCCTCCATGGGGATCCCACAGGTATGGCACTGTGACGAGGACCAGTAGGTATGGCACTGTGACGAAGACCAGTGGGTATGGCACGGTGACGAGGACCAGTGGGTATGGCACGGTGACGAGGAACAGTGGGTATGGCACGGTGACGAGGAACAGTGGGTATGGCACGGTGACGAAGACCAGTGGGTATGGCACGGTGACGAGGACCAGTGGGTATGGCACGGTGACGAGGACCAGTGGGTATGGCACGGTGACGAGGACCAGTGGGTATGGCACGGTGACGAGGACCAGTGGGTATGGCACGGTGACGAGGACCAGTGGGTATGGCACGGTGACGAGGACCAGTGGGTATGGCACGGTGACGAGGACCAGTGGGTATGGCACGGTGACGAGGACCAGTGGGTATGGCACGGTGACGAGGACCAGTGGGTATGGCACGGTGACGAGGACCAGTGGGTATGGCACGGTGACGAGGACCAGTGGGTATGGCACGGTGACGAGGACCAGTGGGTATGGCACGGTGACGAGGACCAGTGGGTATGGCACGGTGACGAGGACCAGTGGGTATGGCACTGTGATGAAGACCAGTACTGCTTCTGTTAAACGAGGTCTCCAAAATAATAGGAGCCCGATACGACTTCATAGAGCCTTGCGGTTTCTTTCGGAAATGTATTTTGCTCGCAGTCCTGTTCTAAGCCCAGGGAGACGGGAACAATTGGAATAAACATATAAAGACAAACATGACAACTATTACAGGAATTCTGATGTCAACAACTTGATTCAGAGATTAAGACACAATGAGAAAACAGATAAAGCTCGAACAACTAGGGATGCCAAGCGGGGACATTGACGCCCGAGGTCAAGATGACAAAAGGATCTCGCTAAACAATTCCAGGCCCGCACCACGCAGGACACAAAACAAGAAACAGAGCACTACCCGCGTTATTTGCAAAATTCCTGCTCAAAAGCTTTTTGTCTTTCTAATGGTGGCCATACACACTACAACTTGACCGAACAAAAACTTCCAAGAATTGGATCATATGATCACATCTATGAAGTATCAAAAAGATACAAACTGTGGCCATTGATCAATTTCAAGGAAAGCCAATCAATTTAATTGGATTTATTCTGATCGCTCTAGATGGAAAAATCGGATCATAGGAAAGGCTTACATCAATGCTGAGGGTTATAATTACAGCCACTGACACCAATGCAGGGGGTTATTATTGCAGCCACTAACACCAATGCAGGGGGTTATTATTACAGCCACTAACACCAATGCAGGGGGTTTTATTATTGCAGCCACTAACACCAATGCAGGAGATTATTATTGCAGCCACTAACACCAATACAGGGGGTTATTATTACAGCCACTAACACCAATGCAGGGGGTTATTACATGCACCATTGACATTGATGTTTGGGTTTATTATTCGAGCCACTGACACCAATGCAGGAGGTTATTATTGCAGCCACTAACACCAATGCAGGGGGTTATTATTATAGCCACTAACACCAATGCAGGGGGTTATTACATGCACCATTGACATTGATGTTTGGGTTTATTATTAGAGCCACTGACACCAATGCTGGGAGTTATTATTGCTACCGCTTACACCAATGCTGGAGGTTATTATTAAGGCCACTGACACAAATGTTGAGGGCTATTATTGAAACCCCTGACACCAATGCTGGGGGGTTATTATAGCAGCCACTGACACCAATGCAGGGGGTTTTTTACTGTGGCCACTGACAGCAATTTAGGAGGTTATTACTGTGGCCACTACCACCAATGCAGGAGGTTCTTCCTGTTACTGACAACAATACAGGGGGGTTATTACGGTGGCCACTGACACCAATGCTGGCAGCAATTATTGAGGTCACTTATGCTGGGAGTTATTATTTTGGCCACTGACATCCAGTGCAGGAGGTGATTTTTGGGGCCACTGACACCAGCGCTGGGTAATACTAAAGTTACTGACACCAATACAGGGGGTTATTACTGCGACCACCCCAGTGCTGGGGGTTATTGCAGCCACTGACACCAATGCTTGAAGTTCTGATTGCAGCCACTGACACCAATGAGGGGTTTGTTTTACTCGCACTTCAGTATGCATCGGGACCACATTTTTTATGTGCATTAACATCCCTTTATGTTGAATGGGCTGCCTAATTTGACACAAGGCACTGCAGCACACTTAAAGTCAGCTATCATTTTCAAATTGACCACCACTTCATGCATACGCTCAGGGCTGGAACGAGGGTGGGGGAGGCAGGAGGGGCAGCTGTGACTGAATTCTGTTTGACTTCATTAAACCCATTTTAAATAAATATTTTCTTGTCTTGAAATTACACTGACTCATGCGTAATAATCCGGGGAGAGGGGAGCGCAGTTTGCCCCGGGCACTGGATGACCTTGTACCGGGTAAGTTACTAACTGGGAAAAGTTCAGCTGCAGAGAGACTACAGGCAATACCCATGTCCAGTCCTTTCCTTTTTGGGGCCTGGCTTCCAGAGATGAGGTCCTCTTCATATTTGTGACTTCAGCATGCAAGGTTTCTTGAAGGACAATTCCATGATTTTGTTGCCTTCAATCATTTTGGGAACACCAAGGACTGTATCCAGGCTGTTATCACACAGGACTCGTTATGCAGCACATGAAAGCCCGGTTGTGGCGCGCTTGATCTGAGCTGATCCAAGGACAGCTGTGTGAAAAGACAAACCCAGCGTCCCCGCAGCCAGGAAAGCCTCACAAATTGAATTTCTCCCTTTCTAATGCGCTTCATAGGCTACGCTTTTTGCGGCTTTGATCTACGCTCATCTGGTGGGTCTGGTGAAAGTCACAGCGTTTAATTCAGAATTACTCAGATGGTAAAACATTTTAAACTAGTTAAGGAAACTTCAAAAAGAACTTTTTGTGTTTCTGTGTAGTCACCACGAAGTCTAGCTGGAGTTTAACAAAAACGTTTACACAGAAACAAGAAATAAAACTTCCTGGGATGCTGAACAACAATAAAACTGTCAAAAACGATAATAGAGTTTTTAGGCCTCATGCACAAGGGCATACGAGGATGAGTACAACGTAAAATCTGGCATTTTCCTGTGCCCAGGAACTCAAGGTGCTACATACAGCTACCATAGACATGAATGGCTGTGTGTGCCTGCATGCAGATAGAAGTCAGTCCCTGCATATATCATACAAACGTATTCCCAGAATGCTGAAAGAGTGCATTCAGGGAATACATCTGGGCCTAACCTTCCCAGGGTGCAGAAATACACCTGAGGTTATGACAAAATGTGTTGCTATGGCTATTTTACTGATTTTTATAGCATAAACATAAGAATGATGCATTTTAGTTACATGTACTGTTTTTAGAAGCTAGGCTTCCCCTATTCATATGCTAATGAACACGTTGGACAGGTTCATGAGCTCAGGACAGGAAGTGATGCTACAGAAACAGAGGGGAGGGAACAAAGGACTTGGACACAACCATGTGCTCAAGACAAAGGAGAAGCACTAGCTGTTTTGCAGGACTCCCAAGAAGCAAGGCCCAGTCTGGAGAAATCCTAAATAAAAGGAAGTAGACTCCATCACCAGGAAGAAAAAGATTCATTTACGTCAATTCATCTCACTGGCCAGAATAAGTATTTATTCTGGAAAACTAAATTAATGCCCAAGCGTTTGACACCTAAACATGTTACACGCATTTATAAGAGTCAAGTGGGTTTTTCTGTCAAAACACTGCTGCCGGCAGAAAAGGCACCTAAGGCCCCTTTCACACGGGGTGCAATCCACTTGCACAGCTCGGGATCTGTCCGCTGATCCCCTACAGAGCAGAGCGGGCGGATGAAAAGTCTGTGTCCGCTCCATTTCTGCTAAGTGGAGATGGACACAGCCCACTCTGCTCTATGGCCGCCGTGTAAATGGACCGGCTGTCCATTTACACCCGACTGAAATCCAATCCAATCTGCCTGGACAGAAGGGAAAGGATCCCCTTCAATTTCTTTTTTTTAGCAGATCAGATTGGAGGGTGTAAAAGGACACAAGTCTGATTACACCAGCCTCTCCATGGAGATACATGGACCATCCTACCCTGTCTGCCTGAAAAAATGAGAGGTGGACCTGATCGGATCCGCAGTGTGAAAGGGGCCTAAGAAAGCTGGCCCAATGTCCAGTGTGCATGGGCCCTTATAAAGTTTTTATACAGCTGCTGTGATATTGGAGAGTAAAGCCAGCCATAGACGGATCGAAATTCAGCCAGGTCAGCAGATACCAACTGAATTTCAATCCATCTATGGGCAGGCTAGTTGTGCCAAAGTCGATCCATTGATTAACTTCAGTACAACCAGCCTGTTGTTTTTTTTCAAATAGATCACTGCTGGCAGCTATAGCCTCCAGCAGTTATTACTGTATTCTGTCAGCTGGGAAACCTCCTGCTGTTAGAATACGAAATCTCTGCAGGAGGGATTCCCCATCAACATTAAAATGTGAACTGAGCTATTTTCTTTCATGCAACTTGTGGTTGTAGGAA